CCCCAAAACCCCAAAACCCCAAAACCCCTTTTAGAAGAAAATTAGTTGAAAGTTTTAAATTTTGGCCTATTTAAGATTATTTCAGATTTTAAAGTAGAAATTATTGGGACTTGGTCAGAGCTTGGAGAAAGGCGGCGCTATTGAGCTCGCTAGAGGAGTCTTGGCTGGAGGAGGTGGAGCTACTTTGAGGGGATTTTGGTAGTAGAGTGGGAGAGAGTGATTTGGAGGGCTTGGAAGGGGCTGAAGTGTTGGTAGAGGAGTATTGGGTGGTTCAAAGGCGTCCTTGTGGTTTGGTATTTTTGTTGACGAGACATTGCTTTTGAAGAAAAGGAATACAGTTTTTAGTATGAACAAGGTAGCATTCTTTTTCATTAAATTTCACCTTTGTAGCCCCAATATAAAAGTCTTCTTGATTTTCATCATATCTCAGAACCTCGAAACGTTCTTCTCAGACAAATCACTGATTATTGTCACCCTCAAAATCATCACATGAAACATGATCCTCTAGATAATAATCCCCTTGTATTTTCTCAGTCTTTAAGCTTCGCAGTGGAACTTTTTGTTTATTGTATATATTGCTATTAGTCTTGTATTCATAAATAAATGCTTTATTTTGACATAAAGTTCTTTCTCGTTTTTAACCCCAAACATCCTATATTGGATAAGCCATATCTAGTTTTGTTACAAACAAAATGAGTATTATGGTGATCAACTAGCCTCTGATGTCGTTCAAACCTCGCTCCACAAACAGATCATTGGAACCATCGCTCTTGATATAAAGAATATACAGCTTCGGATACTCTTCGATCTCTCTCTACTATTGGATCATTATATGACTTTCCTGGGTTCCAGCTTTCAGCAGTTGTGCTATTGCGGTGACTCTTTAGTTCATTCATATCTTCGAGATACATTTCTTTACAAAACTCGAAGAGGCTGATCTCTTCTTTACCCTTGTTTCTCACAAATCCTCTTATATTGGTCTATGTTTAAAGGCCCAATTTCAGAGTACTTCTGGAGAGAAGGAAGACCTAAAGGTGGGGGCACCCCTCAAGTTTTACCCTTCCTCAGTATTTCCTCCACCATAGGGATCATCCCCAGCATTTGTTCATATAGGTTTTTATAATATGTGTAATTTTGAGATTCTTCTAGATTTGTTTGAGGATCTTGAGGTTGCCAATACCCACTAGCTGAGTTTTGGTGCATTAAATCGGTCTGAGAGTATATTCCAAATGAAGTCTCCGATTGGGTCGGTGAACTCGACAAGTGCATTCCAGGCATATTTGAAGCATTAATTGGTTGGCTACACCCAAGATTTTCGTAAGAATGGGCTTGCTCAGAATCTATGCTCTGGCTGTAAAAATCAGTTTGGGATGAAAGTTGGCTCGGATATGAATATTGTCTTTCCCTCATATTTTCCTGTATAGCTACAGAAGATGGATGCTTTAGGGTTATTGAAGGTACATTATGTTTTGGACTATTGTTGCTTTTTAAAGTCAACTCTTTTTCTATATCAGAAAGTTTCAGTCTATCCGAAATCCCGTTAAGAGTTTTATCACTAAAAATTCCCCTCCAACTCTTGAAGATTTTCATCAATTCTAGTCTGTAATCCCCATTAGCGTTTTTCAGAAAAGTTTGGCAGAATATCTGGAGAAGTCTTGGCTCAAGATGTTTTTTAAATCTCTCTGTCTCTCGTTTAGCAATTTCTGTCAGAAGGACTAACTTTGGTAATTTTGAAAGTGAATCAGCCTATTTAAACTTTATTAGTGAAACTTACTTTATTTATCTTGACTATCAGCAACTGTATGATTCTTTTATCCATATCAGGCTTGCTTGGTATTGATGCTAAGAATTTTAAAACTTCATCTATCATCTCTTCATCTTCACTTTTTAGTGATTCTAGATACTTTCCAAGAGTATCTAATACTTCAGATTTGTCACTAGATTTTTGGCCTTAGCTCCACTAGGGGCTCCTTTTGCAGATTTGTCATCTTAACATCACAATTCTTACTATCTAACTCACTTGAGCTTGGCTTATTCCGTGCGAACATTTTATCTTGCATGCTTAATGAAATACAGTCCATTTCTCTTTCTGTTATCATGAGTAAAAGTTTTCAATAATTAGAAAATATTCCGGGGTTTTGGGGTTTTGGGGTTTTGGGGTTTTGGGG